ATCTCATTGGCTATTTTATGCCAGAAAGTGAGAATCGTTGCTAGAAAATCATTCGTATCTTAGTCAGTTCGTTACGAAAACTTGTAAAATCGTCCTATCTTGTAAAATATGTTGGTTTTTAGATGTCTAGGGTGAATTTGTTTGATATTGTCTGCTGTTAAGGCTTTTATGGCGTGTGAGCCCATGAAAATATGGTGAGATTCGTGGTGAAATTCGTTTCTATATTGATCTCATTGTCACATATACGCGCTTAGTTACACTATAGAAATAGAGTTCCAATACTGTTACCATGCATGGAAATCAATGAATTGTGACTAAAATGTAGCACTACAAGCCTTTAAATCTGATTTTAAATATACGCGATGTTTCAGCCGGGTTTTAGCTATTTCCTAACACACGCATACGCAAACATTGCCGTATAACACAGTACACGAAAGTTATCCGTGTGCAACGAAATTGCTAGAGGACCTAAAAGAGGTGAAGAAATTATGAAAATATAACTGCGTACACAGCTTCATGATGTCTACAAGTTGAATTAAGTTAAATTTAAGAGTAATGGTATTACTTCAACAGACAATCTTTGACAATATAGATTGGGACAATCTAGTTTTCACATGCATTCGGTTGTAATATACCATTTCCTGACACATATTTTCCACCCTCCCTACCCCCACCCGTTTCAATGTCGGCGCCGCGGATCCAGACATCAGATTTTTGTTGGCCCATTCCTTTCAAATTATATGAAATTACAGCAGCTGTCCCATAGTTTCTGGCAAAGATTGTAGACAGCTAGTTGTACTATTGCGGTGTTAGCCAAGTTTAGCGCTGCATTATATTCTGCCCATGAGTTTGTTCGTCTGGTTTGTGAGGAATCAATGTAAGCCGACTTTTAATTTTGCTGCGCCTAGGCTAATTTCTCTGGTCGATCAAGACAATAATAACACCGTTCGAATTGGCGTTATAAGTGAAATTGTATTGACTATTGTTGACAAATGCTAATAAAAACATTCAGTACCTTGAAACTTCGTTAGCTTTCTCCCTCAATTTTATATATAACGAGGAATCATTGGGCTGTATTTCTGTCTTCATTGTGCTGTATTTGTGTCTCATCGGGCTGTATTTGTGCCTCACTGGGCTGTATTTGTGCCTCACTAGGCTGTATTTGTGCCTCATCGGTCAGTATTTGTGCCTCGTTGGGCTGTATTTGTGCCTCAGTGGGCTGAATTTGTGCCTCATTGGGCTGAATTTGTGCCTCATTGGGCTGTATTTGTGCCTCATTGGGCTGTATGTGTGCCTGAAAATCATTCGACCATTGGACAACAGTCGGTAATTCATCGATTGACAAATATATCTCACGTGCAATCAGACCATTTTCAAAAGCATTTCGATACATACTGTCTCCTTGCAATAAAACACTGTCTATTGTAATCGAGTTATAACCCAATGAGAAACAAAATGATGAAACAATTTGGTATATAAACTATGGAAAGGACCGTCAAGGTTCAATTATTACAAATGAGCATGAAGTTGGAGCTCCTTATGTTAACTTTGGTTCAGCTTTGATGAATACTTTTACACAAAGTAAGGATGCTATTTTGATATTGCTATTTTTGATATTTTGGCGTAATCATTGATGAACATTTAACTTTCAAAGAGCATATAAACAAACTTAGTAAAAACCTTAGTAAAAAAATCGACCTGCTGAGAAAGATACGAAGATACTTACCACTACTAGCGAGTAAATTTGTTATCTTAAAATGTTTCAATCTATCGCTACTTTAAGTTTCATGCCACTATTTGTGACAATCTTCAGGCGATTAAATTCAGTTCGTTATAATGGTGTGATCTATAGTTTGTTGACGTGCACCATCATTATTAACTCGTGCGTTCAGAATTTCCCGCGCAAAATTTCTCGCCATGTCGGCATTTCGCGAATATCTCGGATCTTTTGTTCAATATATATTATATGCAAAATAATTAAATTTGTTCAACTGCAATAACCCGAGTGAATGCCCTATTAAGAACTGTAAATCTAAAAACATTTACAAGGCCCAAGTTACATCACCCGACGATGGAGTCATAAAAGAGTATATAGGAATGACGGCGACTATTTTCAAAGAAAGATATGGAATATCGTTAACTAATTCCATCTTGACCGACTTCTGTGGCTGCTTGCAATGCTATTTTACCAACAACTTTAGCACCTTGTTTGAATAGAGGGATAACATATCTTGCAAGGCTCTTGAAAATACCACCAAGCCCATAGCCTCTTTGAAAACGTGCACCGCAACACCCAGCGATGTTTCCACCACGTTGTTGTCTCAAGAAATGGTCTCTCAATAGTTTTTCGTCTACAACAAGTGTACCCCTCGGCATATTGATGTGTTCAGTTCAACTTCACACAATCAACTGATCAAATATCAACTTTGTTCGTTTAATATTATGGTCAAAAAAATGTCTTTTATCAGTAGTGTACTAACATCCATAATTTCATCACAATAACAATGTTGGCAACTGGCGATTACATGCGTGAAATTTCCTTCGGACAGTCGAAAATCACAGATCATACAGTGACACCTTTTACAATTCGAATAAAAATCTGTCCATGTACATACAGGGCATGTGTCCAAATGGGAGATGTCTAAATCTTTGTAACAACTGTTGCAAGCTGTGTCCATGTCTTCAGACTCATCCTCGGATTTATCAGACTGTGTATCCACGTGGGCTAGCATTGTAAGGACACGTCCATTTACGATTAGGCTTTTATCAACTTCCAATTTTGCAAGACCTTTAAGAAATATATTCAGTCCAGCCGGTTCTGGAATTTCAGGATTATATGGTAAAACAGTATATTGGAAAAAAGACCTACAATATTTGTTCCAATATTTGTCACATCAAGTCCAAGTTATCCTAAAAGCAACGGTTTAGCAGAAAAAAACGGTACAGACGGTAAAGAAGTTGTTATCGAAGGCTTTAAGCAGTCATCAAGATCCATGCCTGTCCATTCTGGAAAACCGGAATACCCAAATGGACGGATTCGCAACTCCAGCTCAACTACTGAGTCGAAATTTGAGATCAACGATTCCAGCATTACCTATACCCATTTCAAGCCCTAAGTTGTGGATGCACAAAAATTTCAAGATAATCGTGAAAAAGTACAGCAGCAACAGAAAGTATATCATGATAAACACGCCAACATTCTTCCTTCACTCGAGGAAGGGGAACACGTTCGAATGAGATACGGGAAGAGTTGGAAACCTGTAACGGTGACGAAGAATGCCAACGAACCATGTGGTTATATCGTGCAAAATACTGAAGGACGAAAATATCGAAGAAATCGAAGTCAGTTGCTCAAGTTGAACCATCAAAGTAGTTGGCAACTTAAAGATAGAGAACAAGAAAATGGGGTAACAGTAGGTTTACGTAATGAAACGCACAGTTTAAGTTCAAGTCACAAAAAGGTTGGACAATCGAAAGAACTGAGTAAATCTTATATAACTAGAAGTGCTCTTAAAAGGAGAGTTGTAGTATATTCAAATTAGTTAGATTGTTAATTATCATAATTACTTGGTGGGTGTATTTAAAACATCACGACAATAAAGTCAGTTGTTGTTTGTAAGTCAGCATGTGGAGTCATAACATAACATTACATATATTCTGTCCTTTGCATACAATTTCTCCTTGAAGATTCCATGTGAGAATATCCGTGGATGTGAGAATGCAGTGAAGAAGTTCTTCAGCATTGTTTATAAAAACAATGATAAAGTTACAAAGTGTCCAAGTATATCTTCAACGCGCCAATATCTTGGAGATGATCTTTCGTTGCTGTCCATGGTTGGAATGACGATGTGAATTAATGATTATTTTATACTAATTCTGCAAGGCCCTCTAAAAGTGGCGCAAGTACCAATCCTAGAAAACCACTTCCGCGCTGAACAAGAATTTTCCTTCAAAAATAACAAAAACACCAAAAACGTTATGCTCTTTGTAAAACGTTTTGAAGAAATAAATGTATTTTAAAACTAAAATCTTGTGCAAACTTTTGCCTGCAAAGCAAGCTCTTTCCCGCCCGCGCAATTTGCTAACACGCCCGCCTGATTAGTGTACAAATATGTTGTACAATAATATATGCATAAACCCAAGCGTCGCTAATTAATTACTGGCACACATAGCAACGACCACATATTTGATAAAAACATTTTTTATGGCAAAATATATCACAACTGTTCTAAACGTTTTTTCCTTCAAGTTATTGTCACTTGATGGCGTGGGATGCGAAAAAATTGCTGAGCTCAGCGAAAATATCGACTCTTCACCTGAACATGCCCACGACCGCCCGTAATAATATTTATTTATATCCTATTGGTTTTGCACATTCGTATTGCATTAATCCCCTTAACTACCTCAACTTTTGTGTTATACGCGTGGGGATTACCTGACAACGCTGCCATCAGAATATTTACGTTTCTATCAATAAAATCTATATATTTAAAACTTTACTTTGAAAATATGCTTGTAAAACCATCGTTTTTATTTGGTTTAAAACATAAGCAGTGCGCTATATCTTTGAGAAACTTTATATTATTTGCTGTGGTTTCTGTACCTAGCAGCAACGCATAGCAACAACATTAGCAGCGACCTGAATTTTTAATGATGCGCCACCCTGAATTTTTCTGATGCGCCGCCCTGAATTTTTAATGATGAGCCACCTCATTCTATGCTAATGATGATGCGCCACCACACGCCACCTTTTACGAAATTCCAGCCCCAAAAGCACCTACATTACTACTTTCCCAATTATTACAGTGTTTATAGCAGTTTTGACAAGCTTTGATACAAATAGAGCTGATTATAACACATTAGCTACTCCTCATCTTTCTCGTTTAAATGAAGAGCTCTGACGATTCAAGAAGATTTTCTCAGTATTTACGTCTAAAATGTTTATATATTTGAAAAAAAGCACTGTCTAGCTTCTTCCTGCTACCAACATGGCCTTCCATCTAATGGTAGTGGTTAATTATCAACTGGGTCACTGGATGTTTCTGAGGTAGAATCACTGGATGAGAAGCGTTGTAACCAATTGAGGCTCTCTGTAAACGACCACCAACTCTCAGGATAACATCAACAATAATCGGATTAAGCTTTCTCAACGGACTTAAATAACCTGTACATCGAAGAACTTTACCCAAGCTGTCGCCTTTCCCAGTCCGAATAAGTTCTAGTTCCTTGGCAAATGCCAATTCTTGAACCACACGAACAATTTCATGTGTGGTGTGACGTAGTTCGTGAACTCTAAGTGGTCCACGAGTTATATTTCTTGATCTCGAGCTTTTAAGCGCAGCAAGTATAAATGTATTGAAACGAAGAAACCAGACAATCGAGGTTTGAAGTTTCGTCCAAATGGAAAATTGGTTCAACAAACTATAAACACCATCATGATCTGTAACAGAGTGTATATTGAAGGACTTCTTCTTCAACTCTTCGTCATCATCAGCCAATTCAATCAAGTCAGCAGGTTGCTCTGGCCAGAAACATTCGGCTTCCCACAAAAACGAGGGTCTGTTAAGCCACTGCTGAAGTTTCTTTGAATCACTCATCTCCAACCCACGAGACGCTGAATCTGCAGGATCCATTCCGAGGGAACGTGTCTCCATTGGTTAGGTGTTGAGATCTCGTGAATCAATGGCAATCTATTAGCCATAAACGTCTGGAATCTTCTAGATTCATTCCGTATATATTGTAGGACGATGGTAGAATCCGTCCTGAATACTGTATAGTGAATCTGTAGTTCCAACTCATACGAGATCAACTTATGTAGCTTAAGGTGGCTCCCTACAGTTTTGAGTATACAGCGCACAATTGTATTCAAAAAAACATTTTATCATTTTGTAAAGTATGATCACGAAACTTGGCCACATAACTGCTACAATATCGCGAATTACGAAAAATAAAAAATGTCGTTAAAAATCCCCGTTGCCATGGTAACAAAGCGATTTTAAAAATAGGTACGCTAAGCGTACATGTATCTGCTCATGGTGATTGCACTGTTGCCAAGGGCTTCAATCAATACTCAGTAGCTTGTAAAAATTTTAAGGGACTGATGTTTAACAGTTGACCAGTTAAATAAAGTTAGATTTATAGTATGTCAGATGAAAGAAAAATAAAATGGCTGATATATATTCAACTTGCAGAAACTAATTCCGGCCATAACTTCACAAAGATGATATTCAATTTTATGATGTTCTTGTTGAATCATCTTAGTTTTATAATTTTCTTGCAGGGATGGATCCAGCATGATCTGATACGGGGGGGGGGCTGCTCGGTCCGCTCTGGTGCCGAGTTGTGTCGGTCATGTGTGCCGCCCGCCCATCAACTTGCTTCACTATTGCAAAGTCTTGCTTGGCTACAGTATTTGAGTTGTTCACAGTTTGCCTATCATCATATTATTACTCAAATTTCTGTATCTCATTTTGTCTCTAATAATTTTTGCTTATCATGAAAAATAGGACACCCCTCCTGCACCCCCTCTGGCCAAGGCTTGGGGGGGGAGGGTGCACACCCCCCGCATCCCCCCCAGTAAATCCATCCCTGTGTTCTTGTTAAAACATTTCGGGTTCCAAATCTTCTTGATAGTTCATAATAAACTTTAGCAGGCATGCAAGAACGTTGTAGATGCATAGAAGTTGTCAGGATAACAGGTGGTGCCAATATACATTTGCAGAGTTTTGAAAGCCTTTTTATACCATAATTGATACATAACATCAACATTTCTGCTGTTTATAATTGATCTATTTCATTTTAGAAAATGTCATAGTCAGGGTTGATGGCACACAAATCAACTGTTTATGCCTAGTAAATATATCAAATAGGTCATATATTGAAAGTCATTCATCAGCAACAAATGATGACAAGTATGGAAATTAGAAGTATAATCGATGCATATAGTTCTTGAATAGAATGATATAATTCAGCATACCAGATCCATGCAATAATATTTTGTCGTGGAAGAAAATCCACTAAACAGAATATTATGTTAGTTTTGTACATTTTGTGCTATAAATAAGATCCCATTATGACATATGGTTGTTGTTGATTATAAGACAATATAGTATGGGATAGGTGAAGGGGATATAAATTGCTTAACTGGTGTTCTTGGCAATGACATTCAGTTGCAGAAATCAGGGTCGATGAAGAAGGGAGCACCCCGTCCAGGATATATAGTTAATAATTATGACTGGTTGCAACTGTTACTATAAGTATTGATATTCCAATCTAAAACTGAATCTCTGCTCTTTATGCAGCCACTATTACTTTGGCTTTTCTTTAATGAAAGCAATTATTCAATGCACATACTGCTATAAAGTGCTTTAAGAGAAATGTTTCCAATATGTGTGACTTAGCTTCTGACTCTGCTAAATTTGTATAAAAATGATCTATCAAAGTCTGTAATGAAAGCAGACACCAATTGTCTATAGTTATGATCATTGATAAAGAAATTATGTAACCTTACGAAATTATATAGCCTTCTATTGGTTTCATTCAACTAATTTATATTAACTAAAGTCACCAATGAAAATGTTAAATTGAGAAGTACATAAACATCAACACTTACAACTCGATATACACCTACAACGGCAACATGTGGAAGAATCATTACTTTCATAGTTTCATAATATTATTCTCAATGCCATTAGTCAATAATTTTCTTGTCAAAAATTGCGAATCATTTCGTTTCCACTGCGTATTAAATGATGAAATCCTTCAAATGCTTGCCAAAAATGCACTATCGACATTTGCCATATTCAGACTAGTAAAATGACGTTGTTTTAAACTGCGTTTGATGTATAATTTGAATCGTAAATTCACAAATTGCCTTTTGTTTCACCCTTCAGTAAACCGCCATTTTGAAATTAGTATCATTACGTCATTTCATCTATACGCTGTCGTTGATTGGCTATGAGCACGCTTACAAACTTCCGGTACGCGCACGATGGCAATATATCTGCTTCGCAGATACAAAAATGCAGAGTAGGCAGTAACTTACACCAGGCAAACACTACACGATATATTTCAACAGACCGTGTTCTGCAACCAGCAATCGAGGCAAATTGCAAACGACCCACCAATATTTCTGATTTTGCGATATAAAGCATCGCGTAATATAATTTACTGTTTACTACCGAACCCACTTTTCAACGGGTTATGCATGTATTAATGATATGCAAACTGGCAAGGAAGTAGAATAATCATGTCCGTGATTTCTGGCCAAGCATCGGATAAAAACAAAAGCACTATCTTGTACACGCATGCTTTAAGTTCTGAGGAATTTTAGAATAACCAACTCGGATACCATTATCCAGTTGGTTCCGTCACCGCCAACACTTTAGACACCTTAAGATTGACGTTTACGGCAAACGTCAAACCGCTAGCGAAATTTTTGATTTTACAACTCTATTATAATAGCTTTTACACCAGTTTTGAAATATATTACTGTCGATACAGTAGAAGTGTTGATAAAATATTGCACCAATTCCTTTCCTCAAGTTGATCAATTCATTTGATGTTACTTCTAGATAAGCCAATTAGATGTCGTATTGACAAATAGGAAACGCACAGTAGTATAAAAAATTTGAATTCGTATGAATTGATCAACTTGAAGAAATAAATTGATGCAATATTTTATCAACACTTCAATTGCATGGACAGTAAACAATTACTAAACTTGTGGTATTTAGCAATGATTTAAGAAAGCAAATTAACCACTAGTCATGTATTCACCAAATTTTCACCAAAGCAGTAAATTAAGATTTGGCGTTTAACGACTACAAACCCTCGTAACAGTACAAGTATGAAATTTATACGCCAAACGTCAACTTTAAACGCTAAATCTTAATTTGCTGCTTTGGTGAATACATGACTATAGTGGTTAACTTGCTTTCTTGCTTTCTTTAACATATTTCAAAACTGGTGTAAAAACTATTGTAATAGAATTGTAAAATCAAAAACTTCGCTAGCGGTTTCACGTTTGCCGTAAACGTCAATTTTAAGGTGTCTAATTCTTATTATGAATTTCTCATACCCTCGGAGAGCGAAACGCCATTTTTGCATAATCGGCCATGTTTGTTTATTTTAAACTCCATTGTAAAATAAAATATGTGTACTTTCAAACATCAAACTTTTAGTAACAAAGGCAAAACCTTCAGTTACATATATACGGTATAGGCGAAACTTTTTAGTTTTGACCGCAAAACTAATCTGACTAATTGTTTTGCCGCGTTCATTGGAAGCTTGCAAATGGGTGTAAAACCTTTGGAATTCTTCAAATGTATTAAAGTGGCTCGATATATTAATCCACACAAAATCCTTTATACAAGAAATCTCGAAAACAAACGTTTTGAATAAACCCGCGTTATTCGTGTCGGTGGGAATATTAACGAAAGGATTATGTTATACGATCTGAGGTGGCAACTTGCTCACGCAATCTCGCGTCATTGTACGCGTGCATCTCATAACACGTTGCATGTCAATTTCTGATGTCATTAGAAATGCCAATTTTTATTTCGTCCGGTGACCTATGTTGAAATTTTGCTGTCTTGCACTTTCAATATACCAAAACCAAAAAATTCTGTAATGACAAACACGACATTTCTTCGTGTTTTTTTTTTTTAAATGGGATTACAGAAATGGAATTATTTTGCTTATTGTGAGTCTATACGTTCTAAGTAAAACAGTGCGCGAAAAAAGTCAACGCGCTTCTTTTCCAACTATACCTACCGAAGCAATAGGCTATTCTGGAGTGAATTTTGTATGCGGTTTGCCATAACAACTAACTATGTGTCTCTGGTCCTCTACCTCGACTTTCGACATCGACTTTTGAGTCTCGATCCTCGACCAGTAAATCTTCGGCAAGTAAGTGGCGACAGAAAATATAATGGGACGTGTTGATTGACATCCACCAATTTGGGTGAAAAATATTCAAAATTTGGCAAAAAAATAGCATGAATAAGCTGTGGTTGTTGCTTTGTTTGAACATTTAGGAAGGCAATTTTCTGTCGCATACAGTCAGATATTTCTGTTCTCTCTGGAGTGCACGTGCACCGCGTGACGGCGAGATCTGAATAGACGCAATCCTTACAACATATGGAAAAATGTGTGCAAGACCCTGATTAACTTGATAAAAACTCGGCCAACACCTACCCTAGCAGGAATGGTATCTTCTTTTTTCACATGTGAGAAGCTTGTCGTTATTTCACGGAACAGAGCCAGTAAAACATAGCAAGAACGTACGGGTGGTTGAACCTGTAAATCCTGTAAAATAAATTTCTGCCAAAATATAACCATGCACTTTCCTAACGCAAAAAAGGCTACAGTTATTATATTCCGAAGTTATATTCAGATGAATGAAAAGGTGAGATGATAATATATACTGTAGTACTATACGGAGACAAAAAATAGTACAAAACACGAAGAAATTTGCGGCCCTTCGAAGGAATCACTGGAAAAAAATGTGAAATCAGTACTATGAAAATTGCAATTGCACCACCAAATGCATATAGTATATCCATATTATTTCGATACTATATCCATAGTATGGAAATATACAATTATATGATGGATAATCAAAATCCATTCTATTTCCAATAAAGGTCCATACAATTTCCATTCTATGATCAGTTAATCTATGGATTTTCAAAATTTTTTCCAGTGAATAACACTACTGATCTCAAAGCTAGAACTATATATAGGGCAACATCCTGAAATTAGGGAATTAATTTTGAAAACAGAACAAGTAAACACGAGAATGTTTTTAATTCTGTCACATTACACTGTCAAGATAATATATATCTTCTACAAAACTTGAAAGATATAGCTTCCCACACCTATTTTAATAAGTTTTAGATTGTTTTAGACACGAGATAAAGAGAGTTGAGCCAATGGCTTAATTTAAATCGGGTTTCCATTAGACGAATTTTGAGCGCGGAACAGAATTTTTTTATTGTCTTGCGATTTCTTGGGTGGAACTAATTAGAAAAGGAAAAGAAAAATTCTGCTCTGCGTGCAAAATTCCGCCTAGTGGAAAACCAGATAAAATTACAGGAAATATGACAAATATATAAAATTTTAATAGCAAACCTACGGATTAAAATGATTTAGAAACGATATATTTCCTTATGCAGTTTTAAAACAGATTTTACGGTATTTAGTTTCCTAATTTCAAAAGGGAACAAGTTCCATAATTGACATGTAGGTAGTGTAAAAGCCCTGCTTTCTTCAGTTTTGCGCTCAACTGATTAGGACAAACAAAATTTAAGTTATCGTATCTTTATAGTATGCACTTCAATGCAAACTACAAGAATCACTAAAACAGAACTTTACGCTACACAAAAAAATCCGAGTGATCATTTGTTTCTGTGTGAACTAAATAACACTGGGAAAAATGTGAAATCCATACTATAATAATTGCAATGGCACCACTAAATCCACAGTATATCCATACTATTTCGATACTATATCCATAGTATGTAAATATAGGCTCAAAATCCAATCTATTTCCAATATAAAGGTCGGTACAATTTCCATTCTATGACCTTCTATGAATTTTCAAAATTTTTTTGAATGTAACTTTCATTAAAATACTCATTAATAATTCATAAACCTTGTGGCAAATCATGTCGCCATAATATGTCACGTGGAGTGACTTTATATCTGATAAAGCATGAGGGATTATATAATTGTTCATCCTAATTAGTATGATTATATAATGGTTCATCCTAATTACTAATTAGTAATTAGTAATCTTTTGTAGTCGTATTTTAAGCTATTCAAAATACTCGTTGTCGTGTTTTATCAGACATAAAACGCTCAGCTGCGCCTCGCGTTCTATATCTGATAAAACACTCCTACTCGTGTTTTAAATAGTACATATAATCTGACATGGTGAGTTGTTAGTCTATTTTGTAACGAAAATGATGGACGAAAAATATTGGAGATCGTCGTGCTTCCTTTTACGCTATTTTAGAGAGAAGCTAGCACACGTACGTTGCCATAGAAATAAACTATGTGTTACCAAAACATGCATAATTTGAAAGAAGAAACATTAAAATATTATATCATCCAGATATCCGCTGTATAAAAGCAAAAATCTGAATAAGTTTGAATATGTCAAACTGTTGCACATCTGAATTATTTCAAATATATATATATATATATATATATATATATATATATATATATATATATATATATATATATATATATATATATATATATATTCGCCTGAAGATCGCTTTGAAAGAAGCGTGAAACACAGTGTAGCGACAAATATATTTTAAGATTAAAGAATTATATATATATATATATATATATATATATATATATATATATATATATATATATATATATATATATATATATATATATATATATATATATATATATAATTTCGCTTACCTCAAAATTCCGCAACAGTCTGTTTCATCAGTAAAAAATCATCAGCTATATAAAGCTACTCGTCAAGGAGTGGCGAGATATTCTTTAATGAATCAAATAAAATATACAAGTCTTCGAAACAAATAAATAGCCAAAAGACTTCTCAATCGATATTATTTATGTGTAGAGCGAAGTTTGACACGAATCAGCTAAAATCTATGAAGATCCCATCTATGTTTTCTAAGATATACCGATATTTCTGGAGATTTTCAACTACAGGCAAAGCTCTGCATCCAAGCTGCATCTAGGCGTCTCCAAGCAAGTGGTGATTCACACGAAATTTCCTTTCTCTCGTCTTGAACAATATGGCTATTGCTATAATTAATATTTAGTTTAAATATGCTCTTATAGATCTGACTTAGTTCAATATAAATAAACACAAATATAAAATCTCTCGTAACCTGTTTACGCTGTACAGGAATATACGGATTCGCTTGTTTCGCCGGACACCAACACGTGCCGTTCAGGAGCCGAATGCTTGCCTACAAATTTTTTCCCCTTCACAATGAAAACTGGGTGGCGTGCGAATCTTGTGGAGACTACATCGGCCTAGGCGTAGAGTTATTAAGTAAACAGGGCCTACATTAATTTAGTAGTTTCATTTAATTGTTTGTATTGCTTTTATTTGTCAGTGCAGAATATTGTAAATTAAAATATTACTACGATGCAATACGCGTATAGTATTTCATCAGACATCTGCACTAATAAATACTGTACAAGGAAAACTACAGCTTAAATAATAGTAGACGTTTCTTGTTTTGTCAGGAAACATCACAGCTCATTTCGACACGGCTTTTGCGTTTTGTAACCGTCCGAGGCGAAAGTAAATCATGCAGTCGGGAAAACGTCTTACTTTGAAAGATTATTTTGCAAAACATACTCGTACACACAAGAATCATAAAAATACAAATGTTGAAGTGTTATTGTCAACTGTCTAGTTCAGTTATTTTTAGACAATATGGTGTTAGCCAATCAGAATGCAAAATTTATATATATATATATATATATATATATATATATATATATATATATATATATATATATATATATATATATATATATATATATATATATATATTTGATGACAGTTTATTAAATAATTTTTCTGCACTTCACTTGGTTTAAACTAAATATTAGAGTAATTTGATAATCCAAGTGACGATATATATTCACTTTTTAGCTCGCCACACTTAGTATGGCATCCACGTCCACGTCCGCAACAGATAATATATAAGATGAACGTTAAGATGCCACTTTCAATTTAATATTCTGTTCAATTTAAATGTTTACAATTCGTCAGGCAAGAGTATGATAAGAGTATGATGTAACAGTGGAAGGGTGTGAGGGGCGGATTGTTGAACAAGATTTTAAGATGATAAGGCCAGTATTAAGGTGCTAAATGTTTAAGATTATATATGGTATTATATTAGAAGATATACTCAAACACTATACGTCCTTCATAGGCTATATGCTGTGACAGCATTGTCCCACTTGTGGATAAACCCAATATTACAGTGGGTTTGCTGGGAATTATCAAATGATAAGCCTAGTGTTAAAGTGTTAACTAATTAGCGTAAAATGACAAGCTTAGTGTTAAGGTCTTGCAAATTAGCACAATAAATATGGGTGATGCTTGGACATTGCTAAATTAATAGATATATAGCTTGCATGGTATGTGACTCAGGGCAGATACTGGTGCGGTTATAGTAGTGCAAGTTGCGGTTGAAGTAGCGGAAGTATAGTAGCGGATAGAAGTGGATAACGGAAAAGAAACAGGATGTACTATATAAAAGACAATGCGTTTTCCTTTTTAAATCCGTTTAATTAGTAACTACATGCAGGCAAGCGTTAGGTGACTTTGGACTGCCAGAGGACCAAATGTTGCATTTTTCGGAACAGTTTCTGCATGGTTAGGTATAAATGTGTGCATATGTCGTCACTTGGATTAACCATCTACCCCCATATATTCAGTTCATTAAATAAGACGCAAAATTCCATGCAAGGCGCAATTCTCATGGCTTGGTCACAAAAAGGAATCCAGGATAATTTGTTGAATAAACAAACAGAGGAAGATCGTGGTCAGCTTCGAGAATGATATTACCGTTGCTAAAGGAGGAAACTGAGGTATTTTGCTTAATTAAGTATATTTTTAATTGAACCTAATCTATAAAAATAACTCACTTGAATGACTACATTTAGCTCTTCGATGTTTGATGTAAGTATTGCTTTGCCAAAAGCCTCTCGCACAACGTGATAATTCTCATGGTGAACGATGAAAGTGTCTGGAGTTTTATCTTGCTCCTAAAAAACAATAGTAAAAGAAAGGTTTGGTTAGAGAGACAGTTGCTCCTAAAAAACAATAGTGAAAGAAAGGTTTGGTTAAGGAGACACTACAGCAGTTCTAAACATTGAAGAACATGCATGCAAAGATTCATTGATAATATTTTACGTTTGATAAAACACTTTCCGAAGGATGATTGCACATGTATGCACCTGTACATTCGTATAGGAATGCATTTAGATGGAAATAAATTCTGATCTGCAAAATGTCAAGACCTGGCTTATGAATGTAAATTAGTAAGTTTAGCATGATGGTGACTGGGCCCGCAAAACACATTCTTACTTGAGTATTTAGCCTACTTGAATTGTTTATTTTCTGGCTTATGCCAAAGTTCATTTAAAGTAGGAAAAATTTAGCAATCGTGTTGTACAACCACCTAAATGAAACCGTAATTTTTCACTACACTATACGTATTCACTAAACGTATTTTTTTATTTTTGTTTATACGTATTGCGGGCGTGCGCTGCAAAGGAATACTAGGAACGTAGTAAATTTTTAACGGAGCGTTAGCCGTAGCGTCATAGTGTAAACGCGGCCTGTGAAATGAAATGTTGTGTTTTAACCACTGCTACACTACCACTGTGTTGCCTGAGAAGCTCGAATATCAAGAAGAAGTTGTTGGCCGATGATTGCACATTTGACAACGCCTTAAAAGTAGCATTGGGAGTCGAAGCAGCCGACAAGGACGTCGCAGATATTTCGCAAAAGGGATCACACTCTGTTAACAAGGTTGGTGGGAATCTTGCGCGTCAGGGAAACCCGAGTCACCCAAATGCAAGATCAAGCTGTAAGTACAGAAATTTTACATGTTATACGTGTGGTAAATCAAGTGATATTGCTAAAACATACAGAGGCTTTTTTCAGGAGCTTCGGGGAGGAAAGCTATTTCTAAACTGGATATGACGAATGCGTACCAGCAGCTACTTCTTGATGACGAGAGTCAACAATACGTGACCATCAAGACTCACCGGGGACTTTATCGCTATAAAAGACTTCCTTTTGGTGTTGCAGTTTCGCCAGCAATATTCCAGCGTTCTGTGGATGTTATTTTACAAGGCATCGACAACGTATCAGCTATCCAAGACGACATTCTGGTTACTGGCAAGGATGAGGTTGACCACCTTCGCAATCTCGAGGAAACACATCCCCGTCTTCAGGAATATGGCGTTTGTCTTAAACTGGAAAAATACAACCCGGAATTACCACTTATCTTAGAATGTGATGCAAGTCCATATGGCGTTGGTGCGGTCATTTGCCATCGGTTCCCTGAAAACATTGAAAGACCCGTAGCATACGCATCGCGGTCATTGAATCCTGTCGAAAAGAATTACAGTCAAATCGAGAAAGAACGTCTGGCGATAGTTTTTGGGTTGTCCAAATTGTACATGTATCTTTACGCAAGGAAGTTCACGTTATACACTGATCATAAACCCTTGTTGAAGATATTTGCACCTGATTCAGCCACCCCAGTTCTGGCAGCAGCGCGTTTACAACGTCGGTCACTACTCCTGTCATCCTATCAGTATGAAATCCGCCACAAGTCTTCCGCTGACATCGCGAACGTAGACGCTCTGTCCAGACTCCCACTAAAGTATCGAGCTGATGCCAGTGTAGAAGAACGTATATTCAGCATCTCCGATTAGCAGCTGAATTGCCATCCAGTCTCCGCTAAACAGATCGCTAGAGAGACAGCCCATGATAAAGTTTTGTGTAAGGTGTTTACTTTTACGCAACACGGTTGGAGTCAAACTTGCGACGATCCAGATTTGAAGCCATACTTCAATCGTCGCAACGAGATTTCCATTGAGCAAGGTTGTCTACTTTGGGACCTACGCGTAATCATACCCCAAAGCTCCAGAAACAAGTTCTAAGCGTGTTGCATGAAGCTCATCCGGGAATTGCCCGAATGAAGGCCATGTCGAGAAGTTACGTTTTTTGGCCGAAGTTGGACATCGCCATTGAAGAGACCGTCAAGAGTTGTCGGCAGTGTGTGAATATTAAGTCATCTCCGCCAGCAGCGCCTCTTACCCCGTGGATTTGGCCAGCCAAGGCTGCCAAGCAATGGCAACGAATACACGTTGACTTTGCAGCTTATGAAGGGAATCATTATTTGGTTGTGGTCGACGCACATTTGAAGTGGCCAGAAGTGATCGGACCCATGAAGTCAACAACGGCTGGGTCTGCAATCAATGCGTTACGCGGCATTTTTGATCGTTATAGTTTGCCTGAGCAGGTCGTGAGCGACAATGGGCCTCCTTTTCAATCTGTTAAATACGACGATTTCCTGAAACAAAATGGAATACAACGAGTGTTGGTGTCTCCATACCATCCAGCATCTAATGGTCAGGCCGAGAGGTTCGTACAGACGTTTAAGAACTACTTAAAGATGTCCAGCGCTCAGTCTTGTTTACTCCAGCGAATCCAAAATTTCCTACTGAGTTACCGAGGGACGCCGCATAGCACTACCGATTGCTCATCTGTCAAGCTTTTCCTCCAACGAGAATTGAGAACTAGACTGTCTTTAGTAAAACCTGATACCGCTAGTGTAGTTTCATCCAGCCAGTCAGTCACGGATGAATATTTATCATGATCAACATGCAAGGTTTAGGGAATTTCACTCTGGTCAGCCAATCCTCGCTCGGAATTACAGGTCAAATGGTAAATGGCAACTTGCAACTGTTCTAGAAAGAAAGGAACCTCACTCATATCTTGTAGCATCACCAGACGAAAGACTTTAAAATCGCCATGTCGATCAGCTTTTGCAGGATAGTCCACCATCTCCACCTTTGCTTAGTAAGAGATCCGAACCTATACCTGGTAACCTTGGTTCTTCGACAGACACACAAGTTTTCCCCACTTCATCTACTTGTACTTCTTCGACGGAGTCCACTCCGACAGCTGCAGTGGTTCCTCAGCCCGAAAGCATGGACCGCAACATAGGGCCATCCGAATTGGCACAAGGCACCCTTGGTAATCCTAGTATTGTCACATCTCCCACCATTAAACTAAGAAGATCAAGTAGAACGATCAAACCGCCGAAAAGGCTTATCGAACAAATTTAGATATTTAATTGATTAGGATATTTACTTACGTATTTTGTATTTATGGATTAGAAATATATTAGTTATGTTATTTAGAAAAATCGGACAGTATTTACACCAAACGGAGAGGTGTTATGGTATTAGGTTAATATGTACATTTACTACATGGAGTACTGAGTATGAGCCCACAGTTGAAACTGCTGGTCAGTAACTTCATATAAAAGGAACGGTCCGCCATTTTATTAGTTAATTGAGATTTATTTGGTCTCAGTTATAATAAAGCCTTAAAACATAACAAGGTGCTACGGATATCTCGGAAGAAAGATCAATCTTGGGGATCCGTTCCTGAGACTTTAAACTCCATGACAGGAAACTAACGAAGTTACTGACAAAGTCTAAAACCGATTCAACAGCTAGCCAAGACAGACACAACAGAGATTATAAAATATAAACTAGGGATCCAAGGATAGTGTAAAGTTTCAAATTGAAAAAGACACGGCAAGAACTGTGTAGGGTCGCCGACAGCCTAGAACAGTAACAGCAGGCATAGGCTAGAACAGGCACGTTATTAAAAAAATGTGGATTCGAACAACGTTTTAAAGACATAAACAATTCCTTGTCACTCCCTTCGTTAAGGTTACAGGACACCCTTTTTGGCGTTTTGTGGAAAATCGCTACTGCGCGCTCAAAATCAGTCCGATTTTCATCAGATTTTCACCAAATGTTAGCCAGTGCATGCAAAATATGATAAAGTTGTAAAATTGACAAACAATAAAATAATGTAAGAATTATTCAGGAAAATCTTAAGTCGCGGTACCTTTACGCTTTTGAGTTATGTTCCTGCTGGTTTTAAGATATATTTATGAAAATATCATTTTTATACAGTAAAATAGTTGTTCTAAAAAATTGTGTTCGGAAATTTTTGTTTATTCCGTCATTCCGCTGATATGGCGATTTCTTTGACGACTGCAATATATTTCTGAATCGTTTGCGTGAATTGCTCCTTATTATTAGAATATCCAAAATTAGAACAAAGCCGAACACCATTTTGCAACTGACGTCTTTAGCTATGTCCTGTGAAAATTTAAGAAAAATTCGTTAAAACCCGCAGGAGCACAACTCGTTTGAAAATCAGTAATTGCCGTAAAATTCTTCGGGAGAAAATTGAATTTGAATATTACATTTTCAATGTTTTTCTTATTGCAAGCGAAACGTATTTTATAAAATAACTCCGTGAGTTTTCAACATTTTTCGTCCAAACTTGGTCAGATAGTAGAACTAGTCTAATGCTTTCATGGAAACAAATAAAAAAATTTTAGGCAAAATTAACACTCAAATGTGTTCTGTAACCTTAAATGTTGAATTGCAAGAGACCTTATTTAGGCATGATGACTTTCTGTTTTGTAAAGCTGATGACTTACACTACGAAATAAACAGTTAGCATAGGCATTTCATCTCATTATCTATTCGGTTTTTAATGCGTTCGGCACACGAGTAGCGCGACGTTTGAAACAAGCCTAACACATCAGAAACGTCGTGCCTCGTTTTCGAAAAGGCACGTCGTGCCTCCATCAGAAACGTCGTGCCTACCTTTATTTATTTATTGTGATCATACACTCCACAACTCGAAATTTAGATTGTTTCACCAACAACCAAATTTTTTATATTCTAAAACTACATTTGCATTGGGAGCGGTCGCTGAAAGTATCCCCATGAGGCTACTGGTATACTAATCTTATTTAAAACTATGATTATTTCCATCATCTTTTTAGCGCCCATATTGCACATATGACTATTGTCTCAGTGACACTCTTTAATTGAAACAGCTGTATAACTAGTTAATACGACGTTGCATCCAATAAAAAAAACCCATAAATCAAAGACACAGAAACGTAAAAATGAGGAAAAAAAACTCATTAAAATGACGCATTTTATCCCCATATCCGTTCCGCATTTTATCCCCATATCCGTTCCGCATTTTATCCCCATATCCGTTCCGCATTTGATCCCCATATCCGTTTCGCCTTTTATCCCCACATCCGTTCCGTGGATACACTCCGTTCCGCATCCGCATTTTAACCTAATTGTGACATGTTTCACAATAACAAGTCTTATTGACTTTTAACTTTGTACTCCCAAGATCAAGTTGTGTTTCATGAGTCATTTCAGCTTTCGCATGTATTCAATAACGTCACAGTCGTCACTTTTAGTTTAGATTTCAATAGTTTCACAGTTATAGCAGTTTTGACAAGCTTTGATACAGATAGATTCCCGTAAGATCTGGTAGAGTTCTCATTGCATTGAATATAGCATTGAACACGAGTTTGCACCGTTGTGCTAGACATGTAAACAAAGCCCGTGACGGTACACGTTGGATACCATACCAACTTTGACTTATGTCCACAGTCGGTTTCTCCAATCGAATTCCCCCAGTGCAACAGTCACCGCACACGCTACTCACAAAACATCGTGATGTGAACTAAAGATGTGAACAATTATGCATGTACTTTTGAACCTGGATATCAGTCACGAAATTACGATAAAAACAACTATAACCATATAATTAAACACAAGCAGGACTATTTTAGAAATTCATTTTTCATTAGATCAGTGACAGTTGAATTTGGAACAATTTACCTTCTCATGTCGAATCCCCCAAGTCATTTGCTACTTTTAACTCTATTCTTCATAGGCTTTATTTTACTATGGCTATATCGCTATGTGCCTCGGATCGGACCATTATCTGGCCGCCTTTATTATATTCATAAATATGACTGGTTTATATATAAGTTATCTGATGATTTCCAAATTCTTTGTTAGCGTATGGAAGTTAAAGTGTGTAAACGTACCCCAAGATTTAAATCCTAAGATTTAAATTAGTTATAACTAATATTTCTATATTGTTTGTTAATTATTCACCTACATTTATGATAACGACTTTAGGAGTTAGGTGCATGTCAATTGGGACGAAAGTCCTGTTTCATTCTCCTGTCACAACTTGTCTTTGTAAGCTTATGAATTTACATGCACTGCATTCAAATGAATATTGTGATCAGCTGCTCATGTTTCACATCATACCTTTAGAGGAGCAAAAAAAGCATTACCTCCAATTGTGGCGGCATAATCCATTTAAGTTCCGTTCTTTTACATCTTTCTTTAACAGCGTCAATCCCATTAGGGTCATGGCGAACTAACTGTTTCAATAAAAACAATTGCAAAACAGATCGACTTGAATCACTACAAAGGTATTTTGCTGTTTCAAGGCACTTTCTAAGGGCTTGGAAACGTTTAACATTTTCAGCAAAGTCATCGCCTAAATATGTAGAAAGGACATCCAATGCAGCCCTTATACCAGCAATATCTCTAAGACAATTGATATTCAATGAGTTTTGGTGACCATGGATAGTACGTAACGTTCTTTCCAACACCTGGCTTGCCAATATGATTTGTACATTTTCGCCACCTCCTTTCGCTTTTAATAATTTCACTGTTTCCACATCCTAGATAAAATAATCAACATTAATTTAAAAATACGTTTCAGTGAAGTTTGAAGAGGCCAAATTTCATAAATCCAAGCCAGCGAAAGTAAATTTGCAGTTAGCTCTGTTTGTTAATGTTGTACGAAAGGGCCAATGTACAATACAAAAGGTGCGATTATTTCGCTCAGAGATTATCTGGTTTCTGTTATCTTTATTATCCGTTATGTTCATCGTTATTTCAAAACGAACCATGCAGTATATTAACTAGAAGGAACAAGTATACTTTAATTTCTAATTCTATTTACAAACCATATAATTTACTCGTTTTGATCTTTTAGAAAGCCAAACATCGAGTATTCGACATGGAAATAGATTTAGTATGCTTTCGTTAAATTAAACAAGCTCTTTCAAAAACAACAAAAGAATGACTATTATTGCAAATGCACCATGACTCATATGAGTGACATTAATGCATTAATTGATGCATGCTTGGATATATGGCTTGGATAGTCATTCATTTAACTTTCTTTAATTTTGACATTTCTTTTTTGATAATACAAATAATTGTTGCTATTATATTCAGTGTGCTTGCTGATAGAGTAATCGTAAAGGCATTCACTGCGAAGTAAAAGTGTGCAAAAATGAATAAAAATAAATAAAAATAAATGTTTGAATCCGGCCGGGGCTCTTTTGTCTGACTTGACTTTTTTAAAAACTTTCTTTTCTGATTTGTGCAAATCAACCGGTAAATGTTCAAAAACAATTTAAACGGTTTGGGATTGGGGTTAGGGGATCGGTTTACTTTACAAAAATTAACTTAAACTTAAACCATTTATGATAACGAGCAAGAAATTCAATCGGATTAGAATGCCTTCTACTATATTCATGCTCGTAAAACGTTTTTCCACACAAAATGGCTATAGATACAAATATATGTGTAATGACGTATGGCATAGAATTTAGTGTGATTCTGAGAAGCCCTTACACACCTGGTTAAATTCAATATGATCATGACCGCGATTTACAGTTACAGACATGCATACAATTTGTGCGCCAATCATTAGTACCACATTATGCAAGTGCATTTAACAGTTATACCATGCATGAGCTGAAGTCGTACATGCATTTGCTGCATGATCATAACAAACGAGGTGCGTAGCACCAAGTCAGCTATTAGCCATATACGACGAGAGCAAATGGTATAATTCTTTTATAATATAGTCTAACTTGTTTTATCATACTATTCTTTGTTGCAATATTTTGACAGTTGGTTCAGCTACAATCCGTGTCACAGCTTGGCCTGAAAATTTTAAATGTTTTTGTTTAATTTAATTTAATTTAATTTAATTTAAGTTGTGTTTTTGTTTTAAAACTGAAAGGTAAATAAATGGTTTTAGAACAGCATTGGCTACAGAAAACGTTAATTAAAATATTTTATGTCGATGTTTTGTAGTAAAGTAAGTGCTTGTTGACTGCAAATTATATGCTTTTCGTGGCGACTTTCCCCAAACAATTAATATTCCCATGAGCATGCTTTTTAGTGGCTCTTTTGGTATTAATTCTTAAAAAAACCCTTATATTCAAACTAGTTTCTATAAATAAAAGGCATTTGCTAAAGTTTTTCGTTGTGTTTTGACCCCTTTTAAAGCGAATTTTTTTTTTTTATTTTCTGTCTGGTTTGCAAAACTCTTGTAGTTTTTGTGCCACCATCTTATTTTTGCTCGCTGTATATGAGCTGATGGGTGAGTGGCTAGTATATTATAATCTATATTATTTCTATACGAAACAAAGTATATAATTTATCTGGATGTACCTCCATACACTGTACACACAATACGCAAACTTCAATTAAATGTTCTCCTTGTTCTGCTAAGCCTCTGGCACGATGAAGGTATTCTTCCAAATGTTTGTATACTTCCTTTTCTCTGAAAATAATGTTCACAATATTTGGATGATTAACTTATCAAAAAATAAAAAAATAAGTCGGACTAGTCGAATTATTTAAAAAAGGTCATCAAGTTTAGATTAGTGTCAGACTAAGATTAGACTAGGGTTAGATTAAGATTATATTAAGGTTAAGGGTTAGAGTTGGGGTTAGATTAGGGTTAGGTTCATCTATCCCAATAAGTTATTGTGCGAATTTATTGTACTGATAATTTCGGACGTGTTTAAAAAATTACTCATATAGTAAATTCAAAGGTCGAGCTCATGCTGAATTGGCTCGGCTATGTGCACCCAGCATAAAGAAGAGCTAACGGTTCAAAAGTTAATCAATCATCGCGGATGCATGGCTATTTTCATGGTTAATTGGTTGGCGATATCACTGATCTCAAAAATATCCAGCGGTGGCTCCGGGAATTCCCCGACAGACGGGCTGATGTCTCCGACAGGGGGACTAAGTTCGTACAAAACATTTTGGCGTATCCAAGCATCGGTTTAACACCACCACAAAACTACCCCGAGAACAAAGCCTAATTCCCATTGTGTAGAAAATAAGGCTCTGCCGTTTTTGTGTTTTTGTTCGTCCAAAATTCTGGACGAAATAAACTGGAAGTAAACCGGTTCAAACCGGTTTTTATTGCGCGCGCATTCGATTTGAGTGTAAACTGTTGACTAAAATAAACCTATGCTGACAATAAACCTATAAATCGCTTAAATTTACCGAAAAGTAAACCTAGGCATTCTAAAAATTCAGGTAGAACAAAACTAGCAAGTTAACAACTGTAAAAAATATAGTTGATTTCACAAGTGACAAGTGGCAAACACTACATTTATTTTAAAACAGATTTGAAAATGTTGTTGTCGGTTGTTATTGCTATACTTTTATTTATAAACATGACATTAACGGTTCCTATTGAATAGATTTAATTGGTTATAAGTAATGTTTATGCAAAGGCGGAGCCAACTTGACAAGAGCGAAAAGTGAGACCATGCAGGTGAGACTGTGAGCGTATTTCGTTTCTTGATGTGTTGTCGGCGGTCCCTCCTTTCTCCCGAGGGACTGCTCGCGGTCTATATTAACAGTGTTAATCGCATTGACAATCGCTGTGTTAGGCTGTGTAAACCCCTCGCGAGCCCGTTTACTTGAAATGAAGGAAAACGGAAACTTTGCTCTAGTGTAAACATAGTAAGAATATCGATCAGCTAAGTCAAATCCCTAAACATTTCGCTGAACACGTCTGTACCACCCACAGTTGAGTATAGCATGTCGACAAGTTATGTCATTTGGTAATATCATATTTAACATATCAAAAGAAATTCAACCAACAAGTGATAACAACATACCTTTCCTTTATTGCTAGAAGTTGCTGTAAAATATAAGATCTGATAACAGGCGTGACATCAATTCCTTGCCCGCCAAAAGGTGTAAAATCTTCAGTTCTTTTTTCGTCCCTGATCACGTAGCCAATAAATTTTTGAACTAGATCTGGATTTGGCAACTGCTCTCCAAAGCAATATACTGAGACAAGCTCCATAAAAAATGACTTGCAGCGATTACGAAAACTGTTGTAGGTCTCAAGAGCACGTCTTTAAAAGAAAATTAAAACCTAATGTTAGCATGCTATAAACTTCAAGTACAGAAGGAGCTAAAAGAACAAAACACTTTGAAACTTGTTGTACAGCGCAGTTTCTATACAAAACAGAAAATGGGTGACTAAGAAATTTAATTTCCATAGGTTCGCGCTGCACTGTGTTTTTGTGTCAGGGTGTTAAGATGATTTTTCGGAAATTGTCGTCAGGTCGTTTCGGAAATTGTCGTCTATGTTTTTTTATTATACATTTCGGAAATTGTCGTCAGGCCGAGCATTCAACGATTGTTTGTTTTTAGAGTACGTACTGTACTTTTACAGCACAATGCAAACGATCGACAATAATTCGAATAATTCAGGTAAGGATAGCTTTATTTCTTTCAGGTGTATACATGAAGGCATTTATATTTAGATCTGCTGTTTAGTGTTGATATAGAAGTATTGAAACAATATGATTTCATGAATAGCATGTTTTATAAATCGTCCACGGATCGTCTTAATTAATTTATATTTAATATAGCGAGATTTATAGTATACAAGCAGTCAAACTATATACTTTTAGTTTATTTGTTTGTGTGGCAATGTGCCAAAGAGATGAGTTTATATATAGTATTCATTCTAGATGTCAATGTGCTTTCATCACGTTTAAAAAAACAAACGCGAAATGCTGTGTTAAAGATATACCTATAACTACCCAGTGTGGATTGTTCACATTGTTGTCTGCACATATTTATAACTTACCAGCAGTGACATGTATTATTCATGTAATAACATGTCAACCGATTAAATCTGTACAAGATAAGACGGTCTGTAAAAATATATCTCTGAGATATCAGATATATGTCCACTGTTAGCATAACATGAAATAATCTTACCGGCCAACATAGTCATTTAACAATTATTCGCCGAAGGCGAGATGATTATCAGGAATTAATATTCACCGAGACAAAGTCAAGGGTCAATAGCCTCGTGGAGATTCTTTCATTCAAGTATTATTGTTTATATATACATGATATATTGTAGCACTGGGTATTCAGTGGCAAGCTAGCCATGGCAACTGGTCATGCTATGCAAATAAACCTGCACTATTTGAATAATGCAATAACTTGCATAGCACGACCTCATCTTGCTATGCGCTTTCTGCCTTGTTGTTTTGCATGCAATCTTTTTAGGCAAGCTTTCCGAGGCTAACACATGTACGCTCTGCGTACTTATTTTTCCATATTTGACATGTGCTTGTATTTCTGGCACAATTTAATTCTAAAGTGCAGACACATATGATACAAAACATTCCTCCATTTCTGATGCATCACTTGAAAGTATCTTGAAAATTAAGAAAAATGGCCTAGCTGATCACATCCCCAAGTTATTCGGTATTTTGTATTTGCTGTTTTGACGACACAGGTTGTGCTTAAGACGGCATGAAATTAAAGCAAATTTATATATAACAATATATAAATTAAAGTTAACGAAACAATACGTTTGTCACCTTCAAACCTGGATATAACCTCATAGTGACAGGATAAGCTTGTCAACAGCCACAAGAGTGTCAAGAAAGACTATCGAACAATTTTCTTATGGAAGATTATTGCTATGCAAATAGTTAAATTGGTTTATGTTGAAACATAGCCTATCGAAGGGAAGATGGCTGTGAAATTCATTAGAATAACAATATAACTGATTATCTATGTTTGTCAACGTTTATTCATAAATCTGGTGCTTCACCGTCACGTGTGCATTGTATTCTTGCCCAACTAACCAATAGCAATGTTTTCGGAAAGTCACCTATCTGTGACTCGAACAATAGGGAAACTGGGAATTGCTATTGGTGGATTTGGTAAAAATGCAATACACACGTGACGGTGAAACGACCAGATTTTTGAATAAACGTTCACTAACATAGATAATGAGTTATATTGTTATTCTAATGAGTTTCACAGCCATCTTCCCTTCGATAGGCTATGGTTAAAACAAATAAATTTTGGTTCGGGGTTGAAGTGTTTCCATAGACTCAGGTTACTTATAAATATAATCAGTCGAATCGTAAGTACTATCCAAGAGGATTATCACCCCTTGTTTCAGGTCCATGTCAGAAGGGGTCGCTACCAGAAGGGGTCGCTACTGGCAGGGCCCTATCGGGGATTATCACCCCTGGGGCATTCAGTTTCTCCTAGCAGGTCTTATATATACCCCTACGGGATGAAAACCTAAGGCTTAATAAGTCTTTGGGTTGACCAGATTTTAAGAGTATAAAATATACAATTGGTTCACTTCACCTGGAACCCATTCTCCCGCAATGATTTGGTGTGTGTTTTACTTATTTTCGGGCTGTGCTTTCACCTAACGTATTAACGTGCTTGAATAATTAAATGAAATTTGGTATAGTTGGTAAGTACATCTAAGCAAAATTTTGGAATTTTATGTGGTTATATCGTACAACCAAGTATCACTTTCCTATTGCCTAAACTTTGCTTCAAACAAAATATAGAAAGCAATTTTTGTGATTTGCATTTAATCCTTTTTTTTTGTAAGTGCCGTAGTAAATATAAACTATTCCCTTGCGAAAATAAACGAAACTTTCGTTCGTTTCAAAGTGTTAAGATAAGAGACCTGGTAACTAAGTGTAGTGTGTTTCTATGACAATCACATAAACATTTAAAAACGTTTGCTTAAGTGCGCGTACCAACTGTACCAAATTTAATTTAATTTCGTTGAATCACTTCAGACATATTAAACTTTCTTCTTTTTGCTGCCATATTAAGCACAACCACGTGTTAATTTTAGGGAGTTAATTTAACTCCTGTCGAGTTATTTTGAACTAAATTTTACTCCACATTTGGAGTTAAATTTAGTTCAGAATAACTCTACAATAAAAATACCACGATAGTTCATCATTGCCGTGCGTGTGAGCCAGTCATCAGTGGTCCCCAGGTCTCGGCTGGGAGGATTCGATGGCATGGCTCGTTGTTTGAATAGCGCCGCAAGAACAGTTAGCAGAATCTGCTGTGTTAATGATGTGCTGGCCAAAGGCGATTTACAACTTGGCCAGACAGTGAACATGAAGATGTGGTTGTGAATATGAAGATGTGTGGGCTCGGGCTCAAATATATGATAAAAAAAAGATCATATTGAAGAGGCAATAAAGAGAAAATCCACTAATCTACTTTACCTGCATTTTTGACTGATTTTAACTTTGAAGTCGCCACCAACTTCTTTCCTGCACATGGGACATATGTTATGTTTGTGAAACCAACCTTTTGCGCAAGACATACAACATATATGCTCACATGGCATTTGAACTGGGTCATGGAGAGGACTCTTGCAAATCTCACACCGACTGATGTCAAATCTAAAAAAGCGAATTAAAATTTTTGGTTAAGCCTTTTCTCAGCTTAGCACAAGAACCTGCTCTACACTGAAAACGGTCTTTAATGGCAACTTTTTCTAATTAATATGTGATACCAAATTTGTTCTTCTTAACTCGTTTAATACCGAGTTAATTTTGGGAAATCTCATACAGGCTCGTCTCCTAAGAAAACTATCAACCTCGTACCCAAAATAACCTGGGTATACAAGGTTACAAAACTATGTTATAGAGGGTATTTTTCCCGTCTACTTTCCAGATATTATGTAATACACACTTTTACATTGAGTATTTAATATCAACCTGATCAATCGTTCCCTCATTTCATCGCTGCGACTCTTTAGGAATCTCTCAATCGCCGTCATGGTATGGACAGTTGAAAAGTCAATATTTTCTCCTAAAGCCTGCAAAATTAAATGGAAGTTCTCAGTCTCAAAATAAACTGTTCAATTTAACCTTTATGTACCTGTCACAAATAGGTCTCATATAGCCACATAATTGTCATGAAATGGTAAATACTGAGATTGACGTCGGAGAGTGTCTTCTCAACATGCATGCTGCGCTGAAGTCTTATGTAACAATGATGAACGTACACAAATTATGCAAATGCCATCTTAAAGTGAATAATTTGTGTGTAATCTGCACATTAGTGTGACCTTCGCAGATTCTGCATGTGTATTGTCTAGAATCTTAATAGCGTTCTCCATCACTAAACTATTATTATTATTTTTCAGTTTTGCACAATTTTGTGCATGCAAGATTTTCAGTGAACATAACTAATTTATTTCCACATTTCCACATCAACCATTTCGAAACGTACAAGAACGGTTTTTTGTGGTAATGCAGTTATTGGTTCTACTCTAGTGTTTGCAAAACAAGAAGTGCGCTATATATACGTTTCGTTACAATACATTTGGAATGGAAAGTACTGTTAGATTTTACCGTCCAGAGTAGAAAAGCGTTGTTTGCACTTGTTGGATGGGTTGACTGTCCGGGTGGACATGTATGTTCAATAAACATGCGTACAACATCCAGACGAATCCACATAATTCTATAAGAAACAATACGTTCCTGTATCTATCATGGTTTTGGTATTATTTGCGACCTGAAAAGTTTGTATAAGTAGTCACACAGTAAGCCCTCCCAACGTCCCCCTCGTGTTTTATCACACCATAAACGCACGGGGCTTGTTTTCTACTTCTTAATTTAAATAATATGACAGTATGAGTTTAATCTGTCTTTAAATTTGTCATGCGTCATGATATATTAGCAGGCAGACAAACTAAATCTCTAAAGGTAGATCATGCAAAACATGGCCCATAGGCCCAGGATCATCATGCAATATATGCCAAGCCATCGTCCTTCAACCTTTCCCATATTCGTCATGTTTTCGCCCTCTGGTTTTAAAGTAAATGAATGCGCACAGCGCACTAGCCCACTCAAAATGCATTGACAATTCCAAGATTTCGATACTCCAGTCTAGTGTCTTCGTCAGGGGTAATCTGAAGTTTCCGCGTGGTTTCTTATATTCCAAAGATGACGTCATCTGCTACCAAGATGGAGATATTCATGTGATTAAAAACTAGCCAAAACATGCCTGATGTTAAACATAGTTGCTGTAAACTCACAAACGTTAAATCTTTCCCATATTTTGACCTATTTTGGTCGCGCCCAATTAATGCATAAAAATAGTTTTCTATTACAGGATTTAAACCATTAGGGAAAATTATTAAAGGTGTATGGCTTATAGTTGTTTACCCTAGCTATAGGGATTCAAAAACACCCCACTCAGCGATATGCCACGCGAGGGGCATTTGTATGATGGACAGATAAAATAATACACACCTGCAGTTTTGTAAATGATGAACAGATCTTTCTCCAAAAAGTTGAGCAATAAACCTAGCCTCACTGTCACCATTTCCTAGCTGTTGTTGTGACGGTCTTGAAATCAAACTTTTCATAACTTGTATGATAGGACGGATGCACTGAACTCGGTTACACCAAACCAATCTACTGTTAGCGTTTTTCAGATCTTCACGTCTTGGTTCCAATTGCTCCAAGCAACATTTAAGTGCTACCACATCCAGAATCTAAAAGTATTGTAAATGAAGAATTACATACACAAAACCCGAATTCCTCACTGAAGTTGCCTTCCAAATTACGCCTTGGTCTAATATAGCAGTTTTTGTCTCCGGGCCAACCGCGCAGAGTGCCGTTCCGGGCGCAAGTCTTGCATGGTAAGGGTATTAATTCTCCTTGGCTATTTACACGCAGGGAAGGGAAATAATTAGCAAAGTCTAAAGTTCATCAATACCGAGGTAATCAAGGATGTGAAAAGTAATAGAGGCGCATAGCTATGCATGCAATTTTGAAAAGGTAATCGTTTCATACAATGAGCTTTCAAGCAATTTTGCTTTGAAGAAATCAGAAGAACTGATTTACTATGTGAATTCGTGTAATCAAAATGGCGTGTAATCTAACTTTCGACTTCTACAGTATAATCCCTATCAGCAATAATTACAGAATAATGAAGTTACAGGTATATGTACCTCAAAACATACACAAAATTTACGTTTTGAATAAAATTTGAGGAACGAATATTTTTGGAATTTTTCTTGTATTATTGTATACTTTCAACAGGTGCATTTTCTTCCCGGCATGTCAAAATATTATACGGTAAGAAAACGAACTTCTGAATGCTTTTTAAATGTGACCTGTTATACCAATATGTACCTCAAAACATACATGGACATTTTCGCCAATATTTTGAAAATGGTTACTACAGTACTAGCTCCCAAAGATATTTCCCTTATCATTCATCTAATTTGTCACATCGACCGTACAAAAACGTATTTTACTATGATGGGTAGGACTAACCATTTCTCCAACATCTAATTGATCACGTTTTGTCAAAAGTGTTTGAACCAGATCAGGAACAGCATGAACAAGTTCAGAAAAGTTTATCAAGCGAGCTTGAACTAAGGAGTAGGTAAGATGAATGAAAGGAATATCCAATTCAAATTCCTCGTTTTCATACAGCGACTGTTGTAGTTTTACAGCAGTTGCAAGCACTGCATCGCTTATCAACTGTGGAAGAAAAAATAAGTTTCGAATTAGACAATTACAAGTAATTTAAATTTGAGTATATTGGTTGCCTTTAAATAAGTGCAGGTGTAGGCTAAATCCATTAGCATCACACACGAACTTATAAACAACTTTTGACCCCGCGACCTTCGAATTGCTAGATCGACGCTCTACCAACTGAGCTACACGGTCAAACGGATTTAAGACTGGAAATTATGAACTCTATACCGCATGAATGTCATAAATATACTGGTTTATATTAATTCAGCATTGAACAATACTAGTTCTGCAAGTGTTATGTTAAGTGTTCTAGTATTATAGCGTCTGATTTGGCAGCGCCATTCAGTGTGTTCCTTTATTGTCGAAAAAAATCCTCTTTCTTGAAGTTTCTTCGACTCGAAGAGATGTTCGGCAACACGGTGGTAAGAACACAAACCGGGAATTAGAAAGAGGATTTTTTCGACAATAAAGGAACGCGCTGAATGTACTGAATCAATAGAATAAGACGCTATCATGCTAGAAAAGGGAATAAAGAATTACCAAGAAAGTATTTTCTTACAGGCTATACAGTACACTCCATTCTTTAAAGCCCCGCACAGACGAGCAATTTTTCCTTGACAAGTTTCTTGTCAAGTTTATTTTCTCGTGTGCACGACAAACAATTTTTTTAATCAATTTTTCCGTGACCTGTTTTACGAGCCTGCATGTTGCCAAAACGTCCAAATACTTCATGTATATCTACTATATAGGGCTGAAGACGAATCGAACTTTAATACTGCATCTTCAAATCAAAGCAATTCCTTGTCAATTTTTCCTGATCGGCCGTACACAGGAACAATTTTCCTGGTTCAAAAGCTGGCTGACCAGCTTTTGAACCTCCTTGTCAAGGAAAACTTGTCAATTTTTGTCATACACACAAGAAAATAAAACTTGACAAAAAAACAATTGTCAAGGAAAAATTGCTCGTCTGTGCGGGGTTTTAATGAAAACACGACTAATGAACATACTGAATTTCCGGCATGTTATTCCACATTAACGGATGAAATCAAACGGGACGATAACATTATAAATAGAGGTGTAATGACTCTTGCCATATACTCTGATGATGGCTAATTGCAGCCGAAAATTTAAGAAAGCTTGGGTTATTAACCGTTTTTCATTAGTTTTTGCTCAAAATTTCCATGTATAAAATTGAATCCTTCAACAAACCAGAAGTTGATTTGTCTTCGAATTAAAATTACGTTTTAAGCCTACCATTTTTGTGCGGAAGCAATTTTAAAAATGTTTTTTAAAACATTTTTACACGCGGGAAATTGATAAATTTTTTCAGAAAGCCGTATCAATTTCCCGTGCGTAATATAAAATGACCGAAAAACGGAAAACTTCGCAGGGCTATATATTATCCGCATTAATTTTACTACATTTCGCAACGAAACTTTGGAATATTACTAATTTTGTGATGTTCTTTCAAGCTGTGATGAAATGCTTGTCTAAAATTATCTGGATCAAAATTTTCTTCATTATAGGTAATAGGTCGCTAAAGGGTCCTATTATAGAAATGCATTTATTACATTATCAATGACCTGACCTCTCGTAAATAAAAAAGATGCATCATGATAACCCATGCATCAGATTTATCTAATGCATTTAATGAGCATTTTTTGATAATAGGACCTAAACTTGCTAGTGAAATTCCAGTGAGTAGTAGTCATACGAGTTACACTGATTATTTCATTAACACTGACAAAAGTTTCAATTCACGCAAACTAACAATGATCATGTAGATCAGTGCTGATCTTATTTCTAGTTCCATAAACAATATTTTTAATCTTTCTTTAACATTGGGTACATTTCCTGAAGATTGGAAATGCGCCAAAGTTACTCCAATCTTTAAAGTGCCTATGCGACAATTTTTTTAATGATTGAATTTCAAAGTTTATTTAAAATCATAATAAAAATATAACTTGTTTTCTAAAACTTTTTATAATATAAGTGGGATATAACAGACGATTTCATTGGCTAATGCACGTGCATTGTGACGCAATAATGCACTGTGATCTGTAGCACTGCTTAATTGCTCTTTCTCTGTTTTTTCCCCCCGCTTCATCTCTGCTTTTTAGCCAAAAATATAAACAAAACTATAGAGCTTTTAAAATGCAAAATTTACCAGAAAGCAAGAAGGAATAGACCAAAGGAACAAAGCAATTTTTTATAGTTCTACGTGTAGAATAAACCGGCTTGGTATTCGTCGAATTTGTTGTTGTCTCGACAAGTTTTGCGTAAAAGCGTACAAAATAGTTGGGAAAAAAACTTGAAAAAGATACAGCTGGAAGATCAAATACATACAAAAAGGCAACAAAAACTGAATACAAGTGATTTAGAAAGTACCTTCAATTCTTCTGATAATAACTGCTAGATATATTTTCGGCGAATTAAAGATAAAAAATACAATAATTTCGAAAATTAAAACTGAGTTTAAACGCGACGAAACCTACGATTTATCGTCTTTCATGGCAAATCCAGCAGCCCAGATGCTGAAAAATTTTGGCAAGTTAGTCTGTGTATCACTCCTTTTTTTCCCCACTATTTTAAACAATTTTTCCGGCTTTATAGGATCAAAAGTTTGTATATTGTTTTGACAATTTTGCTCCTTCGCTCGCTTAAAAATTCAAGCAACAGTGAATGAGTAAAAGCATGGGCGTGACGTCACTGAGTACATGTAAGGAGAATTTCAACGTCGATCTTTTGAGTAAAATTGTTTACTATGTAATATCTTCTACTTATATTATAAAAGAAATAGAAAAACTCGTCTCGTGCGTTTATAGTGCGATAATGCACTTGGGGAATGTTCGGAGAATACTCGAGAAGCGTGTAAAACACTCGGCTACGCCTCGTGTTTTACACGCTTCTCTCGTATTCTTCCAACATTTCCCGCGTGCATTATCACACCATAAACGCACGCGACTCGTTTTCTATTTCTTAAATAATCTTTCCTGTATGCCAAGATTTTCGACTTTGTTTGATATACACATGTGACTTAAATGACGTCACACTGCATAATGCGTTGTAGAAAAGTCTGTGTTGTAGCTTGTTAAAATTCTGATTATCTCAAATTAACAGACAAAATGATCGCTTTGATAGCTCCTAAAGTATATAACTTTCAATGTCAGTGGAATTATCACATGTTTGGCAAGGAAACGTTTTCTTTCTAAAAACTCATTATGCAGTGTGACGTCATTTAAGTCACATATGTATATCAAACAAAGTCGAAAATCTTGACATACAAGAAAGATTATAAAGTTTTAGAAAACAAGTTATATTATGATTTTAAATGAACTTTCCAATTCAATCATAAAAAAATTGTCGCATAGGCACTTTAAACAAGGTACACGGAATGAAATGAATAACTACCGCCCAATTTCTGTGATTTCAGTAATGGCCAAGGCCTTTGAACAAATAATTTACAATCAACTTTATGCATACATGTTAGAACATGATTTGCTATCCGAATAATAATAATAATAATCCAGTCCGGGTTTCGTTCCTTGCATTCAACGCGGTTACGGCCTTACTTAATTGGGGTCACCGATAGTTGGCCTTACAATATTGACCGCGGCAATATTAATGCCGTGGTATTTCTAGACTTGAAAGAGGCTTTCGATACGGTCAACTATGAGATCTTGTTGTCTAAACTCAGAAACTATGGAATTCACGGAGTTGCCTACAAAATGGTTCAAGTCATATTTGGAAGACCGCAGGCAAAAATGTTTTGTTAACGGGTCACTTTTCAAAAAATGTAGTCTTAAGTGCGGAATTCGTCAAGGAACGATCCTAGGACCGCTCCTGTTTCTGGTATTTATTAATGATTTACCAAATTGTTTATCTAATTCTCATCCCAGAATGTATGCAGATGACACTAATCTTATATATTCTGGTAGCGATATAAACACTATTCAATTTTATGGTTAATAAATGGTTAATATCAAATAAATTAATATCTAAAACTGAGTACATGTTAATTGGGTCGAGACAAAGTACTCTTTTTGACAATCCTTCTTTTGAAATAAATGGAATTCCGTTAGACCGAGTTTCGACAACAAAATCACTTGGTGCCTTATTAGATAAAAATGTTACTTGGAGTGGTCATATCAATAAAATGACAAAACGAATTGCTTCTGGTATCAGTGTTATTAAGCGGTTAAGTTTGTTTCATTGGAAACATGGCATGTTATTTATCAAGCTCTAATACAACCACATTTTGATTATTGTAATCTCATGTGGGGAAATTGTGCATGGTAAACCTTTATCTTTAACAAACTTCAAAAACTTCAAAACCGTGCAATACGGGTTTTGACCTTTTCCAACTTTGACGGCGATGCCAATAGCTTATTGGAAAAGCTGGGGGGGGGGGATGATCTAAACCAACAACGCCAATTTCAAAAAGCGTTGATGGTTTTCAAATGTTTGAATAACCTTGCACCCGAATATCTATGTTCCAAATTTACTAATCCAAACAATGTAACTCCTTATATTTTTCGAGACTCCGTGAACAAACTCGCTGCTCCTTTACCCCGCACCAATAATCTTAAAAATAGCTTTAGCTATAGTGGTGCAGTGTTATAGACCAGCTTACTTAGCAATTTTCTGACATACGGAATCTCTTACCGAATTTCGACAATTGTTAAAACATCATATTCGATAAACACAGCATTCATGGAAAACAGGTATAAATATTAATGTAACATAGGCTTGAAAAAATTTTAAACTTATTAATGTATATAATGTAGTCGCTTCTGAATGCACTAGTGTGGAAGCACAAACGTCCTTCTTCACTCACGCTACTAACCTCCAGACGAAGGCCCTTCGCTCGAAGCGCCGAGTTTGTTCTTGTTTCTAATGTAGTTGCATCATACACATGCACAAGTTCAGTTTTCATTCTTTGCTACCTAGTTACCTGCAATTCACCCTCCACTATAGGTTTGTACATCATATGTAGAAAATCGTTCAAGTAGTTCATTGCTGCTTCGTTTTTAATCTTTCTATCCTCAAATGTAGGCTTTAATAATTGTCCAAGTGGTGATGAGTAAAAAACACCTCTTAATGAGACCAACGCCTTGGAGGGATTATCTATAAATGATAAAAATTAAATTCACCACTGAGATCGTGTGTTTGACACTCACTGTGGATAAGAGTCGGTGGTCCTCCAACAGGGCATGAAGAGAGAGCAGGTTGGGATAAGATCATAATCAAGATAAACCATAATCAGTCAAGATATGATCAGCGATGCCGAAATTACTTTGAATTTGTACTCGAGTAAAAGTAGAAGTAATTAACAATAAAACGACTTGAGTAAAAGTAAAAAGTACTGGAGGCAAAACGTACTTAAGTAAAAAGTACAAAGTATCCTTAAAAAATACTTGAAGTAAAAAGTAAAAGTAAAACTACTATTGTCTATAGCGTGTAGGGGGGGGAGGGACTTCTTAAATGGATTGACATACAAAAAACATAAAACAACACACGCATTATATGCGTGCGCCATAATAATTATACAATGTTTCACGGCATGGTCTACTTTCCAAACCCCGTTGAAGATATAAGAAATCCATTAAATAAATAACGCTTATAAGTAAGCAACAACGAGAGATCACAGACGCATGTAGACGTCCTATTACCTTTCCCAAAATTAAAATAAATCAGGAATAAATCACGTAAAATTAAACAAATGTGAGAAAGTAACGAAATCGTCCAAGTTGATGGCTACGTATTAGTACGGCGTGATAAAGTTAATAAGATCGGGGGAAAGGTGTGTGTATTTATAAATTCACATACTCTCTTTAAACGACAGCTTCGAAACCTTCTGGCTCTACGTAAGACCCCATAAACTTCCTCGTGGTTACTCATGCCTCATCGTTTGCTTAGTTTATCACCCACCACAAAATGATAATAAAGCCTTAGTCGATCACTTAACGATAAACCTTGACCTTGTCCTTGCAAAATATCCAAACGCAAGGATTTTTCTTGTTGGCGACTTCAATAGATGTCCGGTGTCTCAATTACTTAGGCACTTCACGTTAAAACAAATTGTTAGAAAAGCAACTAGAAATAACGCTATCTTAGACCTAATTCTCACGAATATGGCGACCTTTTGTGGTCCTCCACTGGTTACTTCACCCGTAGGACAAAGTTATCATAATTCGCTGATTTGTACTTTTAAGAAATCCCAGGCTAAAACTATGACCACTAAAGTGAAGAGAAGGAAACAGAACCTAACAACAAATCTGCTTTTGGGAAGTGGCTAGCTGACATCAATTGGGCAACACTGTACCGAGAAGTATCATGCGAACAGAAATTGGCCATTTTTCAAAATGCTTTAAAAACAGGATTAGATATTTTCTTCCCCTTAAAAACAGTGAAGTTGCATGATAAAGACAAACCCTGGGTAACACCTAAGTTTAAGAAGATTATTCTAAATACCAGGGCACAGAATAACAACATACAGAAGTGTATCTTCTTATTAAAAGTGCGTAAGGGATTTTTTCAGTCCGCCATGTTCTTAGCAAGTACCCTAAAGAGAGGCAGTCACCCCCCTGAAAACATATTGAAAATTTATTCCAGGGGGGTGAATGCCTCTCTTTAGGGCACTTGCTAAGAACATGGCCGCCAGCTATTTCGGTAAAAAGCGCCTTACGGTTTTGTAATGGAAGTTACACTTCTGTATGTCTTTCTTCTGTGACCAGGGTTCGAAATAACGGTTCGTGATTCGTGAATCACGAATCAATTTTCATTTTTCACGAACCCAATTTCATAGAAATTGATCAAAATCACGAATCAAAAGTCTCTCAAATTGATAAAAATATACAATAATAAATTCAGTTCTTTGTAAATGTGATGAAGAATCATATATTCTGAAGATATTGTTGTCAGATTGTACTTAAAAACGATTATAATTCCACCCAAAATTCGAGTTTGCGATGTATATATTTGAAAATTGCAGTGCTTCCACTTTTTAACTTCCAATTAGCGAAAATTCCGGGAAAAACGGGAAAATCGAACACTACCACTACCTTCGTAACTTTTCACATAAACAATGTGCAAAACTTAGATCTGCCTACCTTCGAAAGATGATCGACCAGTTGAAATCGAACCCTAACCCTAACCAAATTACTGTTACCATGCACATGCAAATTAACATAAAGTAAAGTAAAGTAAAGTAAAGTAAAGTAAAGTAAAGTAAAGTAAAGTAAAGTAAAGTAAAGTAAAGTAAAGTAAAGTAAAAAGAAATTCTAAAATTCAACTTCAAACAGACAATACAACCGCTGCATTCAACAAAAATGTATCAACAATGGATGTATATGACACATTGTTGGAATTGAAGTCATTCAACCCCAATAAAACCACTGGCCCTGCATGATTGCATTTCCTCTTGGCTTTACAAAACCTACGCAGAAATTCTGCCCAATCTTCGGACTGAATTGCTTGACTTTCGCAAGACATTTGGCCTTCTAGATTATAAGTGATTAATTAACATCTAAATTGAAATCCCTCAACCTTGTCCCACCAGTAACCAACTAACCCGTGTCACAGACCTTACAATTAGTAAGGTCTGTGAACATTGGCGCGATTGCTTGTTCCATGCATAAATTAAATCCCCAGTTTTGGGGATTATATCAGCATGACAAAATTACTGGATGCTGATTGGTTGAGAGAAGTACAATTATTTCATTAATTGTACTGCAGTACAATTAATGATTTTCTCAAAACAAACAAAATGGTGGAAAGGTATTTTAAACACAAGTGTGAAATGAAATTGCCCTGGAGGAACTAGATCAAAGAACAAAAGCACCAAATTTTGCTTTAACAAAAGAACTAAATGAAAATACGACCAACAGCACCAAATTTTGGTTGCAAGTTTGGCGGGACTTGCCCTGGGTGCCAGAGCCTCCTGTGATAGAAGCGAGGACACGGCGAGGAGACTCTGGTCACACGGGCATCCAGCCTCACTTTGGTGAGTACAATACTTGAACTCTGTTTATGATTGGTCGAAATTTATGTGTGTCTTTTCATTGGTTAACCGATGAGCGTCGATTAACCAATGAAAAGACTCACATAAATTTAGACCAATCAGAAACAGAGTTTAAATACTGAACTCACCAAAG